ATCTGGCACATTATAAATGCACTTATTATTATTATTATCATTATTTAACAAGCATCATGGATGCAATAATTGCTAACAAGCATCATGCATGCAATGACAGCTAACAAGCGTCATGGAAAGTATCAATGACAGCAATCAAGCACTATGGACACAATGATAGCTCACAGGTATCATGGACACAATATATGATAGCGAACAAGCACCCTGAAATCGATGATTGCCAGCAAGATTCCTTCACTCAGTGATTGCCAGCAAGATTCCTTAACTCGATGATTGCCAACAAGATTTCTTAACTCGATGATTGCCAACAAGATTTCTTTACTCGTTAAAAAACACGCGACATGACACGCATACCATAAACTCAGTCTGACTACTGTTACAGAATCACAATGTTGGTCATGCAAAGAATGCTTTGTGGAAGAGAATCTGGAGTCATGTGCATGGTTGTTTGATTGACCATGAAAACATGAATACAGTGGGTGTTGGAGTATATTATCTGGTTTGTTTGTTGCTAAATGCCTCAGCAATATTCCACCCATGTGAAAAGGTCTGTAATTGATTGGGTCTAGGCCAGACAATCCATTGATATCCATTTGAACTCGACTTGCTAAGATAAGGTCCTAGGAACCTATTCTGCTTCATAATCCCATTCAATCATTGTAAACATGACTGTACTCCTGTCCTTTTGAGATACCATATTCGACGAAATGGGCGCTCTCCAAATTAGAAATAGGGGTCTCTTATTAGAATATTATTTTGGGGAAAAAAAGTTGAAACATCGTACATTTCGTGGTTTATGCTGACAGCCTAAAAATGTTTACATACGACAGATATATTTTTCCAGAATTCAATTGCCCATAATTAAGGGTGGATATATAACACACGAGTGTGTATTATACACAAATAAATAAGTATTGTGTACATTGATCAGTCGGAAAGGGTGCCTATTGGGATTGTCCACTAGCCAATATATTAGCAAATTTCGACGTGGGCGCTTATTAGGTCGATTACGGTAGTAATCATATTGAACATATATGAATGAGTGAGTCAAAATTTAAAGTCCCATCAGCATTATTTCAGCCATATAGCGACAAGACCAAGTTGATATAAAAGTGAGCCATAGATGCAAGCTTATATTTGAAAACAATTTTTCAAACATATTTGGGCATGACAATATAAATTTAACATATATGGGGAGATGTAATGGACATATTTTAACAAACATTTGTGTTTCTTGATATTGTTATATGACAGCATACTACGATGGTTCCTTATCTGAAAAATAAAGAAGCTACAGTGATAGCACTATAACTGTACTACAGCTTATATGTAGCAACTCACTATCCAGTCACAATAACCTTGTGCTGAAAATGGTTAACACACACAAGAATTAAACATAATTTGAAAACCTGAAACATTTAATGTATTATGGAGACTGGAGACTTGTTACATTCTTATAAGAAACAAGTATGGCATAGTTCTAGGCTGTGGTACACTGATGTCACCACGAGTTCTGACACTTCATCAGGCCTACCTTTGAAAACTCACTGACTGCAACAATAAACTGTCACATGTCTACAATACACAGGGAGTCGGCAACAGAAAACAATGAGAACAGAACCAACTGAATATGTATATTTACCTTGCGTAGATTAATTCATATTATAACAGCGGCAAGTGGCAAACATTTTGATGTCTTCAGTGGGCTTTGAAGTGTTTAGCTTTTGACCATGGTTACATTTAGATTACATTTGTAAATTTCAGGGCTCGATTTGGCTCCATAAAACATGCACCTGAGCAACCTATTATTGAAAAATGCATGCTAATATTTATTGTAAAAAAATTCAAATCTGTTTTCAGTAACCCTTGTCCACGAAACATTTGATCAATACAAGGTACAACCTGGTTTTCATGTCAACATGCACTTGGTGCAAGTTAAATCAAGTTCCTTGCTTCGAGCCCTGTAAATGCATATCAAGAAGGATGCAGCATTAATCCTTGGTTGCATGTGTCTGTATAGTTCTTTGGGACCTTCTTGTTCTTGATGTGAGGTAAACAAATGAATTAAATGGTTTTATGAAGGAATTTCTCTCAGATATGCCTTTAACATACAACTCAATATGTATATTTCAAATCAAATTCCATTGCAAAGATGCTGATTCCTCAACTATTTTGTATGTAGCTCATGATGTGAAGTTTAAATCTAAGTGAGCTTAATGCCGCAATGAGCAGTATTACAGTCAGGTATACCGCCTCATCTCAGCTTCATGTGGGAGAAATGCCACAAGCTACTCCACAAGTAACCAACTATAATCATGATAATGCTGACAGACCAAGAATCATAATCAGGGCAAATCACACCCATGAGCATAGAATTCTGGTATGCCTTAGGGATGCAACTCTGACTTGTGAACTGTGATGCTGTGATGACAATAAGCATGAGGAAAATGCAGGCTGGATAATATTGCTAACTCAGCATAATACAAACCTAATAACAATGTGCATCTAAGGCAATATTGACATCAGGAAACATTCACGTGACCACCAATTTTTTTAGACAAAATATAAACTTTTCGACTTCCTCCTTCACACACACACACACACACAAAGTGCTTGTCAGGAAATTTCCACATCACTAAAGCAACCTCCAATGACAGCATCATTTTCAGACGAAGAAGTACATAGTATATATATAAAGCATCATTCATACAAAAGGCTGCCTGCCCACACCAATCTTCTTTAAGTCATTGCCTGAGGAACCCTTGCTGTTGATTTTTTTCAACCTTAGAGAATGCAATATATCATAATGTGTTTGAACAAAATGAAAAAACAGCTGTCATAATACTTTCAAGGCAATGAGTATATATATATAGACATTACATACAATGTCAGAACTTGAGCTATTTACCACTTGGCACTTGGGCTATGACAACATTCACTATGGACATCGTAACAGTCAAACAAACATTAACATCCATGTTGGAATGAGAGTTGACTTTGGTAAGAATGCAGTAATCATGACACACACATGCTTCAAAAGTATTACATAGATTCAGGCATATTGCCTAAAGTTTGGAAAACATTTTGAAATAATAAGTATCTTCATGCACTGTAACAATACATTTGGTAGCAGCTGGTCGAAATGGCGACCAGTAACTCTTCTTGCTTTGGTGGGGGCAGTCAAGTGACGCGGACATATAAATAATACCTTGTAGATAACAAATGTTCATGAATTGGATGTGGTCATTATTCTAACTTGGAGGTCACTTTACCTCCACCCTCGTCAACTTTGGGAGTTAGTTTACCTCCATCCCGTCAACTTGGAGGTCACTTTACCTCCACCCCTTGTCAACTTTGGGGTTAGTTTACCTCCATCCCGTCAACTTGGAGGTCACTTTACCTCCACCCCTTGTCAACTTTGGGGTTAGCTTAGTTTTCCTCCATCCCGTCAACTTGGAGGTCACTTTACCTCCACCCTCGTCAACTTTGGGGTTAGTTTACCTCCATCCCGTCAACTTGGAGGTCACTTTACCTCCACCCCTTGTCAACTTTGGGGTTAGCTTAGTTTTCCTCCATCCCGTCAACTTGGGGGTCAGTTTACCTCCACCCCTTGTCAACTTTGGGGTTAGCTTAGTTTTCCTCCATCCCGTCAACTTGGGGGTCAGTTTACCTCCACCCTCGTCAACTTTGGGGTTAGTTTACCTCCATCCCGTCAACTTGGAGGTCACTTTACCTTCACCCTCGTCAACTTTGGGGTTAGTTAAGTTTTCCTCCATCCCGTCAACTTGGGGGTCAGTTTACCTCCACCCTCGTCAACTTTGGGAGTTAGTTTACCTCCATTCCGTCAACTTGGGGGTATATTTACCTTCATTGTGTCAAAAATGGGGTGTGTGGGTATGTGTGTGTGTGAGAGTGTGTGTGTGTGTGTGTGTGTGTGTGTGTGTGTGTGTGTGTGTGTGTGTGTGTGTGTGTGTGTGTGTCTGTGTGTGTATGTGTGTGTATGTGTGTGTGCTGTTTTTCACAAAATAATAATCACATAATCATAAGGCCAGTCTGTTCCTCTGATTGTCCAGGGCAATGCCATTGTTATTTATCCCAATTACCTATAATACACAAATCCCATAGCTGATAATTCAGCAGTCCCCGAAGGATTTGGCAACAGTGTTCAATTCTCTGCAGTTTATAGCATATGTGTGAATCTAGGATATTGTTATAAGCGCAAAGCTAATTTCTTTCTAATGTTAAAACTACTTCTAATACATAATGGAAGAACAGGTATTTCAAATCAGAACATATGCAAGACAATATTCACTAAGATGACCAGCATTGTTCCTATAGTTTTACAAATTCAACTGCAAAGGTACTCTGCACTTTAACATACCAAATTCGATGTATTCAGTGCCCAGTGTTTCCAAGGGTGGCCACTCATTAATATCTACCTACTGTACCTATTTTAACTAAGTGGATATTCAGAATACTTCACTATAATAAAATATTAACAAAAACTACACATAGTAAGGAAATGTTCGCACAAACAAATAACTGAAATCGGGATGCTATTCTGATGGAGATTGCTTAAAAATATAACAATTACACAATTATCTAATTAATACCTCTAGCACTAGCTGATATCACTAGCACTAGAACCACAAGCCTTAACAGCTGATCCTTCTAAACAAATCTATCAGCACTAAACTTCTTCTATGATTTCATGCGTACACAAGACGATTAGGATCTGTACTGTCCCACCTTGTCTGTGGATGTGCCAGTTACACAGGTATCAGTGTTAGAAATTAAGGGGGTCGAAGCTTAAGAAGTAACTTGGGCTTAACATCGCTTATTAACCAGCATGACAGCATTGGATTGGATTGGTTTCTTGTTTTACGCTGCACTCAGCAATATTCCAGCTATATGACGGCGGTCTATAAATAAGCATGTCTGGGCCAGACAATCCAGTGATTGACATCATGAACATCGATCCATGCAATTGGGATCGTTGATATGCGTCAACCAAGTCAGCGAGTCTGACCACCCGATCCCGTTAGTCGTCTCCAACAACAAGCATAGTCGCCTTTTACGGCAAGCATGGGTAGCTGAAGACCTATTCTACCCCGGATCTTCAGCATAATGAAGGAGGAAAAGTCCAAAATGTTTGGGTGGTACCGGTTGATTATAATGATACGGTGAAACCAAAAAGGCCAGGTGCCATGATGACAGGACCATGGATCATAGTTAAGATTAACAGGAAAAAACTTGGATGTAAATCCACGATCAGCAGATCATAGCATGGCAAAGGGAGGCGACTCTCCAAGCTAATAAAAGGATCACGTGCAGAGAAGTGGATATACAGTAAACTATGTTTATAACGAACTGACGGATATAACGAACTGGTCTTTGGTCCCAGCCATCTGCTGTATATATGCTTATAACGAACTAAGATATAACGGACTAGAATTGGTGGTCGCTTTGAGTTCGTTATAACCGTTATTTACTGAAGTTCTTAAATTTAAGGATCCCCAATAGCTATAATCTCAACAAATGAAAAGGACCCCTGGCTTTGTTCTTAATTTCTAACAATGAGTCCTGCATTCACATTCATAATAGCATATCAAACTGAAACAGTTTGAATATCCCTGGCCATTTGTTAACTGCATGATAGATACAGGTACGGAAAACATCACTTTTCACAAAATTCACAGAGTAAAAACAATCATCCACTGTTCTAAGTCATAACTGTATAAAATATTTTGATAAAGAGTGGCGCCATTGGGTTCACTGAGTCAAACATTGGAGAATAGGAAAGTGAGAAACTCTTACACAACAGTGCACGATTCTTCACACTGTAGTACTGAGATGTACAAAACTGTTTTGATAAAGCCATAAACTGCATAGCATATAAACAATAATCACTTCTGTCTGAGTTTACTGTGACCACAACCATATTCAAGGCTTGAATTTGATCTTGTAGAGTTTCAACTTGAAACCAAGCAGCTCTGTCAGAACTGCTGAAAATGCTGAGAGAACAACAACCTTTGTGATATTGTAGATGAGAGGGTTTGCAGAGAACCCAGAAATCTTGAATGGACTCTCCAACTCCTGAAACATGAAACAGTTGTTTCTGTAGATCTAAGATATGAAGATGTCTTTAAACTGGAAAACAACATCAACTGTCAATTAATATTTCAAAACTATTCAGGTATACATTTCCTATGTTCATGGTTAGATGGTGATGGAAAAAAAGGACAAAGAAGGAAAAATATTTGCTTCTTTTTACTGTTCTACAAGGCCTAAAATGTATCCAAGTCTGATCTGAAGGGGGCATACAACATCAGCTGGATGAATCCTCGTGACCAGATCTCATACAGCAATGCTGGACAGAAGGAGATAACAGAGGGCAATGTCTCACATTACAATTACAATGAAACTTATCCTGACACAACCCACGGCACATCAAAATTGGGGTCTTTTAAAGATCTTATCAAGGCACTTTTTAACTATTTTAGTGCCTCTTGAAGGCAGATTCAAATGAAAGGCTGTATAAAGCCTGTGTGAACCATGAGCTTGATATTACCTTGAGAAGCTCCTCGGCCAGTTTAAGGACGTTGTTGGCCAGCATCAACTCCTCCTTCTTGTGGGGCTTCTGCTCCATCTGCAGATACAGGTTGATCTGAAACAAGGCAGTTAATGTTAGTACAAGATCAAGGGCTGTAGGCTGATCGAAAACAAGGCAGTATATGCCATATAACCAGAGCTACAGGTTGATCTGTAACAAGGCAGTAAATGTTTGTACAAGATCAAGAGCTGTAGGCTGATCGAAAACAAGGCAGTATATGCCATATAACCAGAGCTACAGGTTGATCGGAAACAAGGCACTATATGCGAATATAGCCAGAGCTACAGTTATATCGGAAACAAGCCAGGATATGTGAATACAACCAGAGCTACAGGTTGATCGGAAACAAGGCAGTTAATGTGAATACAACCTGAGCTGAAGGTTGTGACTGGAAACAAGGTACTGAATGTGAAAATAACCAGAGCTTCAGGTATATCGGAAACAAGTCAGGATATGTGAATACAACCAGAGCTACAGGTTCATCGGAAACAAGGCAGTGAATGTGAATACAACCTGAGCTGAAGGTTTTGTGACTGGAAACAAGGTACTGAATGTGAAAATAACCAGAGCTTCAGGTATATCGGAAACAAGTCAGGATATGTGAATACAACCAGAGCTACAGGTTGATCGGAAACAAGGCAGTGAATGTGAATACAACCAGAGCTGTAGGTTGATCGGAAACAAGGCAGTACCGGATTCGACCCATTAAGCCCCCCCACCCCCCACCCCTTCCCGGTTCCGAAAATATATATAGTATTTATTTCGTTTGAAATGAAAATCGTCCGGGAACCGTAGTTTCTGGATATTTGAAGTCCGTATAAGCGGGGCATGACTGTATTCTGTTTATTTTAGATATTTGTGACTTTGAATATTATGCGCAGAAAAAAATTACACCGTACCCTTTCAGCGAAGTCCGGCAAACGAACGGGTGATGAGAAACTTCGTCAGTATACAAATTCGAAATTTGAGATAAAAAAATCACCAGACATGTTGATTTACCGTTTAAATTGTATTTTTTGTTCAGCTAGGCATTGTTTTATATTCAGGGATTAAGATTACCTTGTGCATTTTCTCGTAAACTAAGCCGGACACAGCAATCAGCTGTACACACGTTTTCTTGGAATCTACCGGTGAGTCGGCCAAGACACACCCAATGATATAACTTTACAGGATTTTAAATGCAAGGATCGGCAAAAGTTGTATCTGAAACTATTTTTTTATCTGGAATAATATATTCCAATATCTTGTTAATTTAGATGCAGCTTTTACTAAACATATTTAAAATAATAATAACCCTAAGAGAAGCAGCTGATTGCTATTGCCGGGTATTATTTTTTACATGGAACCAGTCTGACCAGTCACCGTCAAGGCTCCCGTGCACGTGATCGCGTGATCGGGAGAATTACGTGTTGACATAGAATCGTCCAACAAAAACAAATATGACTTTTAACGATTCAAAGTATGGCATTTATGATATATGTATCCATTCTCTGTCAACTTAAGTTCGTTTCAAGGCGTCAATAGCGGTTATCTGACCTTGGTTGCTGTTAATAACGGTGAGTTGTGCGATCTTCCGATCACTTCACACATGATTTCGCCGAAATTAATTAAAACAATATTAAAAGGAATTTTGAATAAAATTAATGAAATAAGTTACAAACAAAAGTCCAGATATACAAAGAACACTTTGTATAGCCAGACAGTGTAATTATATGAATAATTTGCGAACTTCAGTATGGATTTGTTGACATGGTATTTCCGGTGTTACATGCTCACAGTAATGTCTTTCCATGGGGGGAAAAACATCAAAACTCATTAATTCGAGTATAATGCGCACCCCCTTCTACCATGTCTACACAGCTGTGTTTTTTTGGAAAAAAAAGTGCGCACTATTCTCAAGAAAATACGGTAAGGCTTACTGATGAATTTACGCCAATTTGACCTGAATTGTCCCCAATAAGCGCCCACCCTTTCTGTCTTTTTTAAAGCCCCCTGGGCGCTTAATGGGTTGAATACGGTATATGTGAATATAGCCAGAGCTACAGGTATATCGGAAACAAGCCAGGATATGTGAATACAACCAGAGCTACAGGCTGATCGGAAACAAGGCAGTATATGTGAATATAGCCAGAGCTGTAGGTTGATCGGAAACAAGGCAGTATATGCAAATATAGCCAGAGCTACAGGCTGATCGGAAACAAGCCAGTATATGTGAATATAGCCAGAGCTACAGGTATATGATCGGAAACAAGGCAGTATATGCGAATATAACCAGAGCGACAGGTTGATCGGAAACAAGGCAGTATATGCGAATATAGCCAGAGCTACAGGTATATGATTGGAAACAAGGCAGCATATGCAAGTATAACCAGAGCTACAGGTTGATCGGAAAGAAGGCAGTTTATGTGAATATAGCCAGAGCTACAGACTGGTCTGAAACAAGGCAGTAAATTAACGTACAAACAGCTCTGTGTTGGAGTACCACTGGCCTTAAAAACAATCTGGAGGAAATGTCGATAAGGAGTGTAGAATAACCTACTTGGGGGGAAAGCCAAAGCTAGTGTGTCAATGTTGATACTGAGGACATCCCTGTTATATTGAGATAAGGTAATGCTGTTGGAGATACAGGAAGATGTAAAGTGAGACACAGATGTAACTTCACACCACTGTGACATCAATATGTTGAAATTTGACATCCGTCACTCTCACTTCACAGCTTCAACAAAATAGTCACTAAAATACATTGTACTTTAGGGCTGGGACAGGTAACCTGGGTACTCAGGTCAGGTGGGTACAGAGTAGAACCCAGGTACCTACAGGACTACCCAGACTGTGGTTAGTCATATATTGCTTAATGGCAAAAAATATCTAGAACTCCATGGTTACACAACAAGTCACTAATGTTCACATTTCTTTCAGACTATGCAAACATTCCTTCTGACTTTATATGTTTGAATAACGATAAAACTTCAGTCAACTTCAGTGTATGCATGACCAGATCGTTTTATACGATTATCTAAATAAATGTTACCAGGGCTGAGGTCATACTATTCCCAATTGGACAGCGGGTACCCGGGTAGGGTCAGGAAGGGTTGCGACGGGTACTCGAGTACCCGATAACGGGTCGGGTAGCTTAGGACTTGAGTCCAATTTTCAGGACTCGAGTTACCGTTCAGGGGAGATAACTCTAATCGCCTTTCGTAACTCGTAAGTCACTTCAAAATGGACGACAAAGTGGACAATCTTTCAAATATTTGAGCGTATTTTGACCTTGATGACACAAAGAAAAAGACCAAATGCCGTCTCTGTGGCATATGTATCAGCTACGCAGGTAGTTCGACGAGTTCCATGAAAAAACATCTAAGTTTTAAACACAAGAGCATTTCTCTTGCCGGCAGCGACCGCACGAAAGAATAGATCAATAGATGTTTGATGACCTTTTATTCGCAAAAGCATTACAAACAAGTGGGACAACATTGAACTACGGGTACTCGAGTCTGGTTCGGGTATTGTCTGCCGGGTATTTGAGTTCAGTTTTCGTACCTGGTCGCAACCCTAGTCTGGTATAGGGGGTGGGTACCTGGGTAGTAAATTGGACTCATCCAAGCCCTAGTACATTTCTTTGAGATGCATTTAGAAGTTGGGAGTACTAAGTTAGAATAAGATATATGGATGAACAACTTCCTTATTACAAATAGGAGTGACGTTTCGGTGTAGATTCCAACACTGTTATCACGTGATCATTATTACACAGTAGTCTCATAGACACAAGGAGAAGGGGTGAAGTGGGTCTTTATTCAAGTACTTGACTGGAAGTACTCCTGTGCACTGCACAAGGTCTGTAGGAGTCATTTGGGCATAATCCCAACAAAGAATTCTTCTGCAATCCAATTTACATAATTATGAAAAAATATCCTTTAGTTTCAATGGCATTCACAGTACTTAGCTTATAAACAGTTATTCATCGGTATCTTCTGAATAACATTTTAATGTAAGACTAAAAAAAATGATAGTCTTGGTGCTTGGGCACCTCCCGCATCATCATAAAGTTTGCCGCACGTTTGTTTTTATTTCCATTTTTACAAAAAAATCCAAAATATCCTTACATATTCCAAGTCTAAGGGTTGTCAAATACTGTATTCCAGTATTTTACTCATGAAGTAATGCTTATGTAGGCCTTTCCCAGGTTGATTGTATGCAACTGTTTATTTGGTTGCACAACTCTTTATTTAGCTACATAACTGTTTGAACACCCACCCACCCCACCCCCACCCCCCTAAAAAAAGACAAAAATAAAAAGACACCGCCCACCCACACTATATTTTCAAAATCCACTGCCTGAGAACCAATTCTTTTATTTTTCTAAGACTAATGTGACATCTCTACTTAATGATGCAAGAACAGGAACTCACTTGTTCTGTGATGAGCACTGACAGGTTGCGGTACTTCTTGTTGATCTTGAGACCGAGGGTCATGAAGCGGAGGAGGTAGACACCAAGAGCGAGACACCAGAACACCAACTCCCAGTTACACTCAAAGTCCAAGTATGTTTCTGCATCCTTCAGCATCTGTAACCATGGTAACATTGGGATGCAGCTGTCTCAAACATTTAACCACAATCCTCTACACTTACAGTGATGACTTGTTAATCTGGACAGCTGTTTCCAATCAACTTGTTTACATCAACAAGCACTTGTGTTATTAGCAGCTGTTAGCAATATTCATGAAATTCATAGTGGACATTAAAAATGAGTCCTAATTTCGGTCCTGGAGTCATGTTCTTGCCATTATACTCAGTAACACCTGCAAATCTGAAAACACATGTTGATCTTCTCACTACACCGTACTTACCTGTAGGCACATGAGTGTAACGATGCAGATAGCGAGCAGGAAGGTGGCAGACACAATAACATCAACAGATCTCTGGGGCCCTCGGCGCTGAAACAAATAATAATTTTTTTTAAAGGGACAGGAATTTGGTACCAGTCAATGAAGCATGGTCTCCCTTTTACTTGATTTCTTATTACATCTTTGAACATATCATTTATGCAAGAACAATTTTCAGAGACTAGGAAATTAATGACTTTCAAAATTTTAAACTTTTCCAGACAAGACATGCCATGCTTAGGCTAAGGGCCACTAAGTGGTTTGGGGCTCCCCTTTTGAAATGACCCCACTTTCTTGTCACTAGTGGGCCTAAAGGCCTTCTTTTCTGTCAACTTGAATGAACACTTCTTTGCATGAAATGATGGATCCTTCTTGAATATTGTAACTCACGTTGTAGGAAAATCTATTTTTGGTCAAACAGCAGCCACAAAATATAACCAACCACTTCTCTTGGAAAAAGCAGTTCGTTTGGGACAATGTTTTGCCATCACAACAGAAAGGCTCTGCTTGGTTCACTCCTTCACTTGCAATTTGGTTTGCTAATCTCCATACCAAATGAGAGTGAGAGTCTGCCTTCGAGTGTACCATCGCAAGATTCCCTCCCTTATCTTTAGGCATACTTTGTATCAGTTAATTGCATATTTAGATGCTTGATACCACTGCTGTGTTGCAGATTTTCCGACATGCAGATAGAAAGCCTCGTAAATCATGTTAATGTTGACGAAAGCCAAATGTATGATTTAAAATCCTAAGTATGACTAGAGCCAATCAAAATGCCTGTTTTACATGTCAGGTACGGCAACAAAGTTTCTAACAAGGATACTTCATTCCAGTGATATGACATGATAGTGTAATGAAGGCCTCACACACTGTGATGAAGCTAGCTTTGTACCATTACGCACCGTTCACTTCCCAATATAATACTGGCAAAACAAGCATGTTAACAAATTTTATGTCAAAATAATGCATGTTGAGGTATATGAGAATCCTTCGTATTAGGAACCATGATGCGAGTGAGTGATAATTCTTGCGCCATTATTGAAAACAAGAATGAACAATGGCAGGATATATTCCTACCACTACTCAGACACCATCCTAGACCCTGGCACAATCTGCTGCAACCACGCACCACAATACACAGGTAATGTTTGTTTGTTTGTTGTTTAAGGCCACACTAAGCAATATTCCAGCTATTACAGATATATACAGGTAATGTTTATATGGTGGTTGACCTAAATCCATCACAATTACCGTATTCGACGTAATAAGCGCCCCGCTCTAATAAGCGCCCACGGCGATATTTGCTAATATATTGGCTAGTGAACAATCCCAATTAGCACCCCTTCCGATTGATCAAAGTACACAAGACTTATTTATTCATGTATAATACACACTCGTGTGTTATATGCACCCTTAATTATGGGCAATTAAATTCTGGAAAAATATATCTGTCGTATATAAACAGTTCAGGCCGTCAGCATAAAACCTCGAAATTTACCTTTCAACTGTTTTTTTCCACCAAAATAATATTCTAATAAGAGCCCCCTACTTCTAGTTTTGAGAGCGCCCTGGGCGCTTATTACGTCGAATACGGTATGTCCTAAAACTGTTGTACAACAATCATCAAAACATCATGATAGACGGGGATGAAGATGTTACCTTGAGGTAAGATCGCAGAGACAGCCATGTTTTGATGTTTCTCACTTTACTGAGACGGAAATGAGGCATGTCAAATTTGCGGGCTCGACGAGAAGATGTGAGGTAGCAGAAATGCTTGGCATACAACAGGCGCTATAAACAGAAGAAGTATATCAGGTTTTATAAGACAGTCTGTGTGTATCTTGTCTGAATTCTTAACACAAACTGTAGGAAATCAGTGTACTTATCTCCCCTTGATCATGATCAGGGTATAATAACATGAACAAGCCATTTTACAAGTCAGCACACAAGCCAGACATGAATGCATAAAAAATGTAATAGTACATACATAGTTTGAATGGTGGTTCAAGCTTGGTTAACCTTCAGCACAAATGAAAATGTTTGTGTCTATTTTTTGTCAAGTATGCAAATTAGGCATTATGTAGACGATTTGAAAAAAATCTATTCTAATTTACCTTCAGTTTCAAACATTTTTCAAAACTGGCAAAAACGTCAGATGATCATCAATTTACTCGGGATGGAAAAAGATATCCTGTTAACTATTTACTACAGTAGTAAGCCTGCTTTAAATCCACCAAAAGTTAGAAAGAATGTATATATATATGACCCAATCACATCAAAAGCAGATCTTAGTTCTCGATAGTGCTGAACAAAAATCTGTAGACATCCCATTAAGGGTCACATCAGAATGACCTTTCGCGAACTTTGACCGACCAATGGAATGACTGACAAGAAGTCTACATTAGCCAATCAGAAAGGCAGCTTTCTCGTAATTTATGGCACTAGTTTCAAACTGCCGACTATGCTTCGAGACATATTTTGACAAATTCTCGATTAAAAATTTGAAAACTGAACAAAAGAATATTCTGGAATGTCTAATAGATGACCTTGATTGTATGGATTCAGTCATAAAGCATGCAACTGTTGTTCGAAATACCCCGTGTCAAATGTTTTCGAGGATGCATGATTCTGTGTGTCACTTTCATGATCTGGTAAGCAACACTCTGATTGGTCGGATGAAAGGTCGTTTTGACGTGACCAGTAATGGGATATCCTCAGATCTTTGTTTAGCAGTAGCAAGAACTAACATCTGATTTTAATGACATCTCAGAGGAGTGTTTTATAAATCATTATTGTACTATACTACTCAAGTTTTGATAGGGATCATCAGGTATGTCTCTCTATTTAAACATATACTTGACATTTTATGAGATTCAGTATTGTGCATCATGTAAAGATAAAAGAATCAAAAGTGGAGTAGCATATAAAAAATGTCCTCTTATATAAGTTGAGGTGAAATTGGGTTTAACGTCGCGTCCAAGATTATTGCACTTATATAGCGACGTGCATGTACATGTGTGTGTTTGTGTGTGGCTGCTTGTACTAGACCGGACTGATGCCGATTTATAGTGCCAGCACACTGAGATACCATGCCGCAGTTTAACATGAATACCTCACTCAGACACAGTATACTGACTCCGAGCCGACCAGTCCTTGTTTTAGCCCCTTAATGCCGAGCACCAGACGGGGTAACAACAAGTACCATCTTTTAACGTCTTTTGGTATGACGCGGCCAGGGATCGAACTCCAGACCTTCCGCTCTACCACTAGACCACGGAGGCAGTCCCTCTTATATAAACATGTTTCATTATTGTATCATGACTCAAATTATTGCAATGATACTTTGATGAAACTTTACAGCCTACAAAGTATAGACCTCAGTGACTAAGTCTGGATATAACTGTGTAACTGCCATGCCCCAACTAACCTGTTTAAATGTCCTGTCAGCCACAGACAGCAGGAAGAAGAAGATGAGACTAAGGCACAACCTCTGCGTAACACCATTCAGAGCAAATAAACTACGTCTGAAACAGAGATGGAATACACATCAACTCACAACTTGATAAAGACCAATCTCTTTAAAATCAGATCATTTACTCCGATACAATACCTCTCTGTGTCAATATCTCATGGCAATTCCATTGAAGGTCGCATCAGGGGAACCCTGCAAACTTTGATTGCCCAATCTAAAAGAAGGATACATAATTTCTTAAGCCAAACAGATGTCAGCTTAATAAAACAATACGGCCTTCATTTCTTTACCGTCATGATTCTGAAATTTTGATCTTTGCAAAAGAAAAACGCTGCAGAACACAAATATACCCTCAACCATCCATCCTTAAGGGTGTAGATACTGACAATATCAAAGAAAAACGCTGCAGAACACAAATATACCCTCAACACTCCATCCTTAAGGGTGTAGATACTGACAATATCAAAGAAAAACGCTGCAGAACACAAATATACCCTCAACCGTCCATTCTTAAGGGTGTAGATACTGACAATATCAAAGAAAAACGCTGCAGAACACAAATATACCCTCAACACTCCATCCTTAAGGTGTAGATGCCAACAATATAACAGAGCGGCTTGATGTTTTTGCATTCAGAACTCCTTGATTGTATTTATATTCAACATGTTCCAGATACAGAAATCAGATGCTTGCTTGTAAGCTTTGTCCGCTCGAACCAAGAAGATAGAAGCCTCCTCGTTGATTGGCTGATAAGAACATCTGTCTGACGGGAGCACCTATAAAGGCGTTGTATGAACTTTACGCAAAGAGATATCATATCGGAGTAACATATCTAATTTTCAAGAGACTGGCTAGAGATGATCAATGGCAGTACATTACCGATCAAGGGCCATTGGTGCTGAATGTTATCAGCTGTTTGATCTGCAAGGCAGATACCAGGATGTATTTGGCTGAGTGATGTTGTGGGTGTGTAAATATTTTGGACGAGGAATAGGGAGTGAAAGACTGCCCAGTAAAATCAGCTTGTAGAATATGAAATGAGTTACATGTGGTAAATTTGGGATTACACTTTCTCAGTAAAGTACAAATTTTAGGTCAATGTTACATTTGACCACTTTCTAAAAGGCATCGTCTATTCACTGACATGTGTATTCAGATGAACAAAGACAGTAAATGCTACTGCAATGAACCGAGCTGTCTGAGTTTGATAGCATTCAATCAAGGAAGTCACAGAGTCTGACAACTGATCCTTTGAGCTGCCTCTTATAGCCAGCATAGGTTGCTGGATCCCGATTCTAACCCAGAGTTCCGAGAGTTCCTCCTGAAGCACCGTCTCCAGCTGCACCTACCTCCAGGGATTCTGCTGCAGCTGGTCCCACAAACTGCAGATCCCGGCCAGCTTGAACAGATCCGGCAGCTGCTTGATGTGGTACAGCCGGAACACCAGCGGCACACAGGCCATGATGATGGACAGGGCCAGGCCGATGAGGATGTAGTCGGAGCTCTCGGGCATGTTGTCCACCTTGTCGATGATGGCCCAGCCAATGTCCAGAGCTGTCAGATCCACCTTCTTACATTCATTGCCTTCCCATAAAACACAGCTCACTGAAAGAATATACATCATTGCAAATATGTGTATAAAACCCACACCACAAACCATCAATGACTCCTTATGATGACAAATGCGTACATCTTGCTTGCGAGGGAAGAGATGTAAACAGTCCTAAAAGTTATATTTGAAGTGTCTGCAGGCTCAATAGACTAGTGTTTGTTTGTTTTTTTGTTTGTTGTTTAATGCAGCACTCAGCAAAATTCCAGCTATGACGGCGGTCTGAAAATAATCGAGTCTGGACCAGACAATCCAGTGATTGATATCATGATCTAGCAATTGGGATACGATGACATGCATCAGCGAGCCTGTCCACCCAATCCCGTAAGTTGCCTCCTATGACAAGCATGTCGCCTTTTACGGCAAGCTTGGGTTGCTGAAGACCGATTCTTCCCCGGATCTTCACGGGTCGACTCAATAGTGATGTAAATGTCTCTATCAGCTTCTGATTATCAAGAGACAATGTCTTGTATTTATAAAGAAAATGAGGTGAAATGGGGTTTAACGTCGCGTTCAAGATTATTTCACTTACACACACATATATATATATATATATATATATATATATATATATATATATATATATATATATATATATATAGATATATAGCGATGTGCATGTGTGTGTGCTTGGCTGCTTGTACTAAGAAGTGATAATACGCTTTAAAACATGAAGTTGGATTGGACGATGATGATATTGTCAAATAGGAAAGTAACAACCTCTCTCATTGGCTGTTTGATAACGTACCTTTCCTTTATGTATCGCAAGTTTTTGTGTATCCTTGGATACACCATTGGTCATGCCTTGCCGAATAATCTCCATGATAGCTCACACTTGTGAGTGACTTATCCACTGTTAAAATAATAATTTTGTGGGAATGTTCAGTGATGACCATTGGGCGGGCTAGATTTGTTTCTGTTACATGCCTCTCTCATGCAGAACACCACCAGAGGGTTATGATGACCCTTAGTTTTCCACCATTCTAAAATAACCAAGAGGTAAAAAAATGCCTGTATTCACAGCGACTTTTAACAAGTTACCTTTATCAGGAGGTGGAATATGGCTGACACCAGTGGAAGATGCTGTAGGCTGCAATACAGAGACCTCAGTTCAGTTCAATCTGAATGAATACGCATGGCCCTACTCCAGTTTCTAAACAACGGTAAACCCCTTCACAACACAGCACACCAGGGCACCAGGGCCAACTTGCACAAAGCGATCTTAGAGCTACGACTATTGTAAGCTTATGTTTAAAGTATGAGAGTTACGATCATCTTAGCGCTAAGATCGCTTTGTGCAAGCGAGTCCAGGTAAGTGATCTCAGCTCTATAACCATTGTATGCCTAAACATGCTAAAAGTTGAAGTTCAGAAGTTACAATAGTTAAAGTGCTATGATTGCTGTGTGCATGTAGGCCCTGAAATTAGGTCTGTATGTTGGTCAGTGGCTACAATGGATATGTTGATGACTTGATTCCTTCTTCATGAGGTAGATTGATGGATATGCAAAGCTGCTTGCTATATTGAACCATGTTGGAATGACATGATCACAATCATGCTAACCTTATACTGTGAGTGTGTCAGCAGGGTTTGAGTGAGTGAGTGAGTGAGTGAGTGAGTGAGTGAGTGAGTGAGTGAGTGAGTGAGTGAGTGAGTGAGTGAGTATGGTTTTATACCGTTTTTAGCAATATTCCAGCAATATCACGGCAGTGGACACCAGAAATGGTACATTGTACCCATGTTGGGAATCGAACCCGGGTCTTTGCCGTGACGAGCGAATGCTTGAACCACTAGCTACCCGACCGCCCCAAGCAGGGTTTTATCATATGGTTACATACATTAATAAAATAATAAATTGCAAACTGCATGTTACAAATAACTGACATCTTTATTCCTGATGCTAGTATTTTAGATTTCAAGGGATGATTTTCTTAACTCTGACATTGAAATCCCAAGCGATAATACGCTTAAGGCTTCAGGGCTCGTGCAATATGACATTCATACAGTTCTTGTATACAGTGAACTTCGGTTGTAATGAACTCAAAGGGACCACTAATTTTAGTTTGTTATAACCATGATAACCGTAGTTCGTTATAAGCATGTATACCTAAGTTAATCAGTAAGCAATGGTAAGTGTCTGCGACCAAAGAATCTGTTCGTTATAAGCGTGTTCGTAACAAACATAGTTTACGATATATAATGTTCCTCTTGTCACAAGCCTATGACCCTGAAATGTATTACTCGGGGTCCCCTGTACTCGAAATTAGATGGACCCAGGTATATCACTGAACAGGCTTGGGATGGACTTTAAAAATCAAACTTGGATCATGAGGAATGCTGAGTGAAACACAAATGTTTTAACCACAAGGATACCCAGGTACTATCAGTCACAATGCCCCAAGCAAGGATTCATCTCGGATTCCATACTAAGTGAACTTGCCAGGCAAACTGGGATTGCAGTTTTTGGGCAGTTTTTTCTTAATTTCAGATAAATTTACCACTGAAGTATATGATGTAGATTAAGCATTAAAGCTTCTATGTCTGTATTGTTCCTGCTGTATCAGTTAAATACAATCATCTTGACCAAGCCATGACTTTAGTTGTAATTATATAAACAAGCATTCGAAATTTTTGCTGACTTGTAGTCGAATAACGGCCTCTGAACAGATGTAGATAAATATCTGGTTGTATGACAAAGCTAGGAAGGTAATATGTACCTTGCTGGTCCTACACTTACTGTACTTGGGTGAATTATTTGGCAACTGATCAATCAATGTGTTATGACAGTGATGCATATGAACTGTGAAGGAAGTCTGAGGGCTTTAACACCTTTTTCTTGTGTTGGATACGAAGTGCATTTATCAAAAGGCTATGCCCAACATGTCTGGACCTACTGACCGGCTGTAACAAGTTGATGACGTGCAGGTTGCTGGTAGTCCATCCCTGGGTGTGCAGCTCCTCGTTCTCAACCTGGTTCTCTCCGCTGTCAGTCAGCTCGGCCTCCGATCCGCAGCTCGATGAGTAGGATGAGGAGGTGGTCACGTCCGACTGTATCCGGTCCTCCCACTCCTCCGAACTCATTGTTACCTGCATAGTGCAACAATATCCAACAGTTCATTGCATTTGATGCATGTAAGTCATAAATATATTGTATAAGCATGTAAATGGTAAGTTATTATCAATATGACATCAAGAACACTTCTGAGTGAATATTGCTATATGCAGCACCAGCAGCTATTCATGGTGCTCCACTTATGGTGATGTGTTCTATGGTCTGAAAACTACCAGTACATGCACAGCAAACCCAGTCACCAACCTTGCTACCAACAATTGATATACAGTATCTGCCTTAACTACCAGCCTGAAATATTCCAGACCGCATTACAACAGACAGACACAACACGTGTTATTCACCTTATTTCCTGTGTCTGGAGTTGCAGGACCTGGTGTAGTTTCATTCTCCGAGGAACTTCCAACCACCCCACCAGACTTCACAGACTGAGGCCACAGTCCCAGGTTATTTGGCACAACACGTGATCTTGCAATTTCCCCGAGATCTGCACTCTTATTGGCACTAATAACACGCCGACGTCGTCGTAATGATGTCCCAGACATGGATAACTTCACATCTGTGATAATCTCATTTTCAGATACATCTTCTGCATCAGAATCTTGCCTGGATTTCTTTGCAAGGTCTGATAATCTACGTGTGATCTCTAAATGTGTCTGCTTACTCTGAGTTTGAGGTAACTCTGTTCCACAACTATCCCTGAGATCATGGGAACTTTTGCAAAATTGGCCCGAATCCCCTAACTGTACTTTTGATTCATGTTCTGAATCTGAATGAATATCATCAGAAATTCTTTCAGAATCAGCAAAATTTTCTTCCTCCAATCCATCCCTGGCACTGCCCTTCAGGATTATCTCCCCTATTGCTCCTGGCAAATGCGAATCATTATCCTGAGATTCAGATCCAAAGGAAGAAAAGTCTTCCTCTAAAAAATCAATATGATTAACAGAAGATAATTTATCACATGCACTATTTGCAGACAAATGTTCACACTTTGTGTTCACATCCAACCCTTCCTTGTGACAAAACTGCTCTACAGAATCTTCGTTCCTGGAGTCAACATTCAAATGACCCTCATGAGAGACAGATTCTAGTGCAGATTTTCCAGACTGAACATAATTTTGTTGACTTTTCTTCTGATTGTTAACTTTTATGTAATCCTTTTGATTTTTATCTTTTGGTGAGATACTTCTTCTGCATTCCATTTTCTGAGGGTTTCTTTTAACTGACATGTTTTTTTGTTTGCCCTTCCTGTCTTGTCCATTAAGATTATCCCTTGCACTTCCCTTGCCTGACCTAGAGGCCTCATTGTCCAGGGTTGTGTCAGAGACAACTGTAAAACTCTTTGCTGATTGTGACCGTGACGCTGCCGAATCGGATGGAATGCTGTCCTGAGATTTCTGACTACTTGTAGAAATGCCAACCTTACTAACACGTTTCTTTGATTTAGAGAGACTTCTGAAAAGAAATAATTGTGAATATTTATACATGTAAAAGTCAACAATAAATGTATACTCAAAATGAAGGTGTTATGTGAGAAGACGATTTTGAAACTGTATCAACATTATCAAGATGAAATATTTTTTTAATATTAGTATATGAGACTGTTGATGAACTCAAAGTTCTTTTCTTAATTTTATAAATCATATGGGTGATTAAGAACATACATGACTAGTCTAAGTCAGACAGGGAAACAATTTGTGATTTCATGTTTATAAACATAGGGTGACCAGGCAAGGAATTAATTGCCAATGGCAGTTAGCTGAAAACAATAAAACAAATTCACTTTCCGTGGTGAGGTGAGGTGAGGTGAGGTGAGGTGAGGTGAGGTGAGGTGAGGTTTAACATTGTGTACAAGATTATTGCACTAATATAGCGATGTGCATGCATATGTGTATAGCTGCTTGTACAAGTCAAGAGTTATGCGGGTTTTAGAGTCTTCACCCAGTCAGATACACTTTCGCAGGTTAACATAAATATCCCCCTCAGACACAATATACTGACCCCTAGCCAACCAGTATCTAGTTGTAGCACCAGGCAGGGTAACAACAAGTACCATCTTTTAACATCTTTAGGTTTGACATGGCCAGGGAATTGAGCCTGCTATCTGAGCATACACCCTGTCCACTAGACCACAGAGGTCTTACCAGTTACCACAGTGGTAAACTACCTGACAAACGATAATAACAGCACTAACAACAGAACTGGATCATTCAGAGACTCTCAGACGCAACATCAAGATGCTTGTGAAGTTTGCACTAACCTGTTGAGTTTGTTGAGATCCCTGTGTGGAGTTTTGTGAGAGAAGTGTGACACCACAGTCTGGGAGTGAATCAAAGCCAGCACCATCATCAGTATGGCAGGCATCATCACCTCCGACAGAGACAGTTCCTGGAGAAGACATCACAAGTTACATCCTCCAGTCAACGGTTAACATTGTACAGAGATGCCTACCCGTGTTTGAGGCAATTGCAGTTTAGTCATTTAGAAAACAGCAACATATTCAAGCTATATCACACAATCCTGTTAATAATCAGACAAAGCAGTGATTGACATTATGAAATACTCATATACCCACCGCTTATATGACAAGTCTGGCTGCTATTGAAACTTCAAAAATAAATTTTTCAAAACTCCCAAACTTTCAAAAGACACCAGTTTACCACTAGACCTATCTATGTGCCAATTTTGGTAAAGATATCTCTCATGGTTTCTTAATTCTGTTACAGAAACAAAATGTGATGGACGGACAGTACCCATTCCTATATCCCCCTTCCATTGCTCAGAGTTATATTATGGACAATTCTTAGCTGAGCTTACTACTAATACTAGACTTGGGCTTTGGACTCGTGACTGAAGCTGCAGACTGTTTAAGACAAGAACAGCTTACCATGGTTACTGCCAACTTAATAGCAAGCTTCATATAGATATGGAACACTAAAATTCAAGGCTTTTTCAAGGCTTTCCATTGTCATTTTCAAGGCTTTTCTAGTTGGGTTATTAGCCTTAGTTTGTCAATATACTAGTCATGAGAAAAACATTGCAAATTTTCCATCAAGATATATTTTCACAAACAACAAATAAAATAAATTAGGCCCGTCATGAATTTTAATACTTTTATTAACAAATGTATGTCGTTTTCTACAAATTCAAGGATTTTAAAGCTATTTAGGTGATTTTCAAAGCTTTTCAACGATGACACTACAAATCAAGGTTTCTCCGGAGGGACTTTAAAATTAGGGAATTTAAAGAAGGCCTTTTCCAGCCTGTATTGGAACATATTCTAGCATGGGTAAACACAGATGTTTAGTTGTTTGAACAGTGTCATGACAAATAATATATATCAACTAAATGTGCATCTTGGCATCATATACGACTTGGCAAAGTACAATCTGTAAATTTGGAGCTGCCAAAATACCAAATGTAAAAGAGTATGTAATTGAACACATTTGTGACAGCGTTTCTACTCACATCCTCCGTGATCTCGCCAACAGTACTGAAGTAGACGACCATAGTGACTAGCTGTTGTGTGTAGAGGTACAACAGGAACAGGAAGAACAATACAGAGGACTGCTGCACCCACCTGCAACACCAAGCACCTGTTGGCAAACACTTCCTCATCCAGGGGAGTGATCATGTTCTACCATGAAGTTGCAAATTACTCCCTTCTGATTGGTCAGTCAGAGGTATCAAAACATGACCACCTTTTTGAAACAACTGATTTGAAGGCTAGATTACCACGGAAGCTAATATTTACAGAACAGTACTTCTTTCTCAGTCATTGTCGGTAGGTACTTTTAAATAATGATATTTACAATAAGACGTTACAAGATGCAGAGTTTCCGTTACTACAATGTTCAAAGCATGTGTGACAATAAACTTTGAACAGAAAACAGAGTAGATATTGACTAAGATTTCAAGTTTTGGGGTCAACAGAGAGCTTGAGATTTGGCTCTTCTCTGCAGCCGACTCTGACATCTTATCTTTTGTGTCACAATGAGCAGTGTGACATAAAAAAGGTGACGTGCAGAGTTGACTTAAAAGAAGGTTCGCATCATTTTTATTAGGTGTCCACTTCATGATGGCTCAGGATATAGCTGTGCTACACCCTTTCAATGCCAGTCATACATGTAAGTGAGTAAAGCATGATGATGTGAAAAAACACCCAAAGTGTGTACATTGACAGCGCCATAATTTGTTCAACTAAATGCGACAAAACCCTTTCCAGAGTCTATTGTACAGGCTATCATCAGCATCAGTGTTCTCCTAATTCAGATCGTAAACCAACTCAAACCATTGGACTCAACCCATGCCGCTTTACTCGATATCTTTGTTAACACCAAGGAGTTTGTGTTAATTCTTATTATGGTTGAAAAGAGATATATCCTACTATGTTTTGAAATTTGAAGTAGGTCTTGCTGTAGATTAGATACCTCTTACTTACACATTTGAAACATGGAGCTAAAATGCTCAGTTCCAAATCAAATAAGAGGTAAACAATCTACAGTGAGACTACTGTGGAAATGCAGGAAATGGAAAATACAGTGAGTTATGTAAGAGTTAATGCCCAAGTTAGTTAAATCCTGCCCATATTATGGCAAGCTGTGAACAATAAGGACTGCACCAGACAAGGCACAGTGTCTTGGCAATGAGCTTTGGCCTGTGAGGCCAAAGTAGCAGAGGGACTGTTTATCATGGGTTATCATATGGGTTTTCATGGATTATCACATGGGTTTTCATGGATTACAAAATGGGTTTTCATGGATTATCACACAGGTTTTCATGGATTATACATGGATTTTCATGGGTTACCACATGGGTTTTCATGGATTATCACATGGATTTTCATGGGTTACCACATGGGTTTTCATGGATTATCACATGGGTTTTCATGGATTATCACATGAGTTTTCATGGATTATCACATGGTTTTTCATGGAATACAAAATGGGTTTTCATGGATTATCACATGGGTTTTCATGGATTATTACATGGATTTTCATGGGTTCCCACATGGGTTTTCATGGATTATCACATGGGGATGCTTGGTACATACCATCTGAAGTATACTGGCAAGAGCAACGCACGAATGATAGCATTGCCTGTGATGGACGTCCATGATACCTTCGGCTTGGCCTTGGAGAATGTGGAGCCTGCAACAATGGAAAAACTGTGCTCACATCACTGAAATAATTGACAAACTTAAATGACAGGAACTTCAATTAGTCCCAATATTTTGGTAATAACACAGTGAGTCTATTAGAGTGAGGAGAGTGCCATGATAGAGTGTTGCTCGTGCTGTTACTCACCTGATTATTTACCACCTTTATGTGCTACTTTATTATTAGGAACAAAGTACATTTTTATGACATAAATACGGTACTTTACTTACAAAACACTACAAATTATGACATCAATAAAATAACCATGACATCACTACTTACCTCGAATGAGGTCGACATCAATGAATTCAGTTTTTAAACGTGCACTTTTTCTTGGAGCATTGAGTACTGTAGGTCGCTGAAAAATCAAATACATCACATAAAGTATAGCACTTCACATAGAATCTAGTTTTCTTGTTTTTCGTAAAAAGGTTATCTGAACATGATATGTTTTGTTTGTTACTTGTTTGTTTAACGCTGCACTCACCAATATTCCAGCTATATGACGGCGGTCTGTAAATAATCAAGTCTGGACCAGACAATCCACTGATTGACATCAGGAGCATCGATCCACGCAATTGGGATCGATGACATGAATCAACCAAGTCAGCGAGCCTGACCACCCGATCCCATTAGTCGCCTTTTACGACAAGCATAGTCACCTTTTACGGCAAGCATGGGTTGCTGAAGACCTATTCTACCCCGGAATCTTCACAGGTCCCACGCAATTGGGATCGATGAGATGCATCAACCAAGTCAGCAAGGAACATGATATGTGAGCAGTGTTGTGTGTGAGCAGTGTTGTGTGAGCAGTGTTGTGTGAGCAGTGTTATGAGAGCTGTATTATGTGAACAGTGTTATGTGAACCATGTTGTGTGACCATTGTTAGCAAAGCTTTTTTTAATGATTAACTATTATAAACATGGTATATTATTGTCTTGGCCACTAACCTATTGCATGCAACAAATGTTTATGATGAAAATTTGGTGAAATAAAATAAGCTTTTCAGATCATTATTTCCCCACTTTTGTATATTTCTGGGTTAGCAGAATCCATAAACTAATGTAAAAAGACAGTCTCGCCTTAGCAGCACGTCTCTCCTACCTTCTGTAGTTTCATCTCCACAGACTGCTCCCACAACTGCTTGTCATTGTAACCAATCTGAAATATAACCGTTGAGTATTTAAGCTTTATGTTGCCGAAGTGACGCAGGTCATAAATCATACCACATATTTACCGAAACCTCCTTGAATGTTCTTATATACTCAGGAGCATGGTGAGCCCGCATCTTGAATTAACCAAATATATTCTTATAACCAAGGTTCGGTAGTGAATTGTCACGGGACAGTATTGTTGACTTCAAATGTTTCCAATTAATTTTCCTTTACACATTATTCATCTGCCAGACCCCAGTATGTTTGAAACAACAAGATCATTGTCAACACTGCATACTGATCCCATGCATTCTAAGTGTCGACACTGAAATTATTACTGAAATGTAAACTGTCTTGTCTGCCCGTGACAGTTTTCACACAAACAAGTCTAACATATTCATCATGCTGAGTTGTGAGTGACATGATCACAAGACATGGGACACTGGTGGAGGACGGTCCTATGTGACATAGTCGGGTTAGACATTGCCATTAGCCCTAAGCCTAACTTTGAAAGGACTGCCTGTTTTCTTCCCAAATGAGCAGTGGATCACCTGTAGTCGGGAGAAAAGGCACAGTGTCTTATAACCGCTGTACTGGTGGACAGAAACTGTTTGCGTGAACTAACCTAATATACACCTTGTTACATGCAACTCTGATAATATTTCATTAACATCTAAATTATGCTGGTAATAAGTTAGGCTGAAGAATTCAAAATCAATATACCTGATACATTTACAGCTTTTATAAGTTTTCTTCTGTTGGTAACTTTTTCAAAAAAGATACAGTTTTGCTAGTATTGCTCAGTGGACTCTCAAAGAGCAACAAGGCAGAAAAAAGAACAGCTCACTAATACCCCTAAATCGACTCCAACATATTTCTAAGTTCAAAACATGAAAATAAGCAACATTTCTCAGAAAATCTGCTTATCAAAATCAAACTTTGCACTGCACCTTTCTTACTGGTATAGACATGATAGGCACTTTACCCCCAATTGGAAAAGTTATAGGTTGCACAAATGTTGAAGTAAAAATATATTTTAAATTCAAAACATTAAGAAAATCATATTTTTTTTCAGAAAATACACATGTCAAAATTAAACTTTGCACTGCACCTCTTCATTGGTATGGAAACTATTCCCTAAATTTGAAAAGAATACATGAAGTAGTTTACAAGTTATAGGTCGCACAAATGTTTCAGTACAAAAATTCTAAATAAAAAATGAAAAAGCTGTATTTTTTCCGACAATCCAAATATTGAAATCAAACTTCTCACAGCACCTCCCCTATAGATATAAAAAGTGTGTACCAAGTTTGAAAAGAATCTGGGAAGCAGTTTTCAAGTTATACCGTATTCGACGTAATAAGCGCCCAGTGCACTCTCAAAATTACAAATAGGGGGCTCTTATTAGAATATAAGTTTGGTGAGAAAAGAAAAGAGAGTTGAAAAGATTGTAAATTTCGTGGTTTATGCTGACAGCCTGAAATTATACAGAAGAAAGGTCTGTGCGTATTATACACGACAGATATATTTTCCAGAATTTAATTGCCCATAATTAAGGGTGCACATAATACGCGTATTACACATGAATAAATAAGTCTTGTGTACAATGATTAATTATAAGGGATGTTAATTGGGATTGTTCACTAGCCAATAAATTAGCAAATATCGCTGTGGGCAGTTATTAGGACGGGGCGCTTATTACGTCGAATACGGTAGGTCACAAAAGAAATTCCTCGGCTTATTGATATACCCAGGCCCTTATAGGTCAGGGGTGTAACAAAGTGCCATCAAGTATCATTTACTGGCTTTCATAGTTTAACATCAGTGTTCCCTAAAAGCTTTTCTAACTACTTGACACTTTACCAGACAATGTCATAGCTAAAGACTGATGTTTTCCTGGAGTATCTAACAACTTTGATAACAAATCGATTGTCTTGTCCTGATTTGTATTTCGCAATTATCTACAATTAATGTCTGTCTGTTGTATATATATAGTTTGACTACATTAATCTGTATTTTATGATCTCATGTTAATGGTAATAGCATGTCAGACATTAGACATAGAAGCACAGCTGGGAACCTGATAAATTGTCAAAATATTTAAGTTTTCACAAAGGGTACTTTGAGAAAGAAAAAAAACACCTGTTATCATGGTTATGTTCTTCATTCCATAAATTATCACAAGCGCTGCAACATGTATCATGTGTATGGTCATTTTAAACAATATTAAAACATGCAAGAAGTCTAGCCTCCTCAACATCATTCTCCAATCTTCCAAGTGCTGAAGCAAATAAAAATCATTCATTTTGTCGCAATTTGAATCTCAAGAATGAGTTCACCAAATTAAAGTATGAAACCCTGACTTTTCCAGACAAGGAAATATTAAACCATACCTGATTAATGTAATCAAATGACACCATCTATCTTGGATATCCCGAGAATCATTAGAACACTAAATCCAGAATGTTCCATATTAATAACTCCACAGCTTCGAAACAATTCCTCCAGAGCTTCTGTGTCATCTTAACTGACAGTAAGAACCACATCATTCAAATACAGAAAACACTGTCACTCAACATATACTGGTACAGACACCTGGTGTACTGCAGTGTTCCCCCTACAAAACAACCTAAGTAAACCTCCTACCGCATGACATGTGTCATCAGCAAACAGTGTACTCAATCTCGTATCATTTCCTCGTCTGTTTCCTGCAGCATGATGTACAGTTGTGCTGTATCTCACACTGACGACAGACTCACTTGAATATCCAATACACTGCTTGTCCCTGTGTGTTCCTCATAGAGGGTAGTCCATGCAGCTACACAGGCTTGTCTGATGATAATCAACATACGTCTTTAATACCCATTATACACATTTATTCCAAGTCTGTCTTCAAAGCTTATTTGGTTGAGAAGGATTTCAACGTAATCCTCCCACTGCTGTAAGTATTGCTGCCAAAACAATAAAACTGTTTGTGCATGCACTGTGTACGTCATGTATTATGGCTCACTCGGGAAGTGTCTCTCACATCTGTTACACAAACTATGTTGAGTTCACACCAACAGTCATATGCTGACAGAAAGTGATTAAGATGCAGGACACTACCTCCAGGCTAACCCATTTATGCCAATTTGCACCAGTTAAACATATATACACTACCTCTGTGATTCCAGGGTCTACTGCTGTTAAGCTGAAGGACACGTAGGATTAAGTGCGTTTTTAAATCTACAGGATATGCTTAATTTAAACTTTTAGAAATTGTTATGCAAGTTATCAGGTTTATTCATATGAATATCTGAGCTTTGTTCTTTTCCACAATGCATTTTTGGGACTATGACACTGTATATCTTACGGCGTCTCGGGTATTTTAAACTTGATAATACAATACTCTCTCTGTTTTACAGAACATTTATTCGAAGCATTTTAGTTTTTAATGTTAACTATTGGTATGGAAGCCTCTCTGTTCAAAATAAATCTAAAATACATACAATTTTAAGTACAGCAAGCAAAATCACAGGTCCCAATTTCAACATATAACAAAATTTATAAGCAGCAAATTGTCAAAAAGGCACATAAGATATTAAATGACAGCAGTCATATACTTCATTCGGAATATCAGTTTCTACCTTATGGCCGAAAACTGTGCATGCCGATGCTGACAACAAACAGGGCATGGAAATCATTCATACCAGCCAGTATAAGTCTTTTAAATGTTTATCTGTTTTATACTTTTTAACAGTTCCCTTTTATTAAAGTTTACTACTGCTGTGATATAAAAACATATACAGTCAAGTCCCGTTAATCTGACATTGTTGGTTGCATATGATTATGTCCGATTAATGAGTATGTCGGATAAACGAGATTTATCGTGATCGAAAATTGGAAACTACACAATTGATAACGATTTAAACATGTTGTAATAAAAAAAAGGAAATATTCATATTGTTGTGTTACATTGTTAGCGGAATATGTTTTCTGATCATGCAACCTCTAAAGTTTAACACAAACCTGACGTGACCTGCAATGGGATGTCCTCAGCGGTAGCGAAAACTTGTATCCGATTTTAATGAGACTGAGGTAATCTAGGCATGTGATTAATCCTGTTTTGTTTATTTAAAGCAGTAATTGTTTATTGTTAAGCAAGTTTATCTCTGCAGCCCTTTAAATATGCAGCTACTCGCCGACTCGTCTCGCATCAAAACACGGGCAGATGACCAAGGAGTATGCTGATCAATGTGTTGGTTTAACCAGACTGATTTAATGAATAATTTAAGCAATTCGTTGCAAGTTAGGTGTGTCGGAGTCAGACTGCAAGACTGTCGGATTAACTGGTCTAAATAGCACTGATTCAATCTGTTCCCATCATTTGTGTCGGATAAAGCCGATTGTCGGATTAACGAGTGTCTGATTAAAGAGACTTGAGTGTACTTTAAAATACCATTTCTTGTTGTCACTGACAGTGTTCAATTTTCTACATGTTTTTACTCATGGTTATATTTCTAAGTGTCTTAATTTCTTATGTACATATTTTAATATCATATTTTTTCCCCTAATTTTAGTGCTCATCAACTGTGCAATATGGATGTCCCTTGGCAATCTTATCCTATCTTATCTTAACACTAAATGTACAGGTAAGGATAAAGTGTGTCCAAAAGGGAGGTTTGAGAGGTTTTCAGGAAGCCTTCTTCTAATATTTGCAATATATGAACAACTCTTTGACCCATGCTGAGATTCAGAGAGAAGAGTACAAGGGTACAAAAATCATGTTGGGTCACATACTTGCTGATACTTAGCTTTTCATTTGGAGTTTGAAAAATCAAACTTTTTCACTCATTTTAGTCATTTTTGAGTATCAAAAGTCCAAAACTTACAAGAGTAAGAAAGAAAGAAAGGCCAGTTGTCAGTCATTTGAACATGCCTGATAGTTGTGACACCAATTATTTGATATTGCAAAGTTTAAAATTTGACATTATTATTGAGCCAAAACAAGCCCTTTAATTCTACCTTGTCCTTTTTCACACTGAATCAGGTCGACATCCCATGTCTGTATAGTCAATTGTCATTATATCAGTGATGCTTTGACAATATTCAGGTATTTTTAGGTGATATATTAATGATAATCTTAAACCTTCATGGGATACATCTGACATGACAAAAAACAGAGTTAAAAAACAACATATAACAATAGGTGACATATTTGTGGTGATTTTATCACGTTTACAGCGAATAGAATCCAGTTACATGTTTACTAACATATGGCAAAACTCTTAAAAGTGGCATATTTCTACTAGTCCTTATGATGATACCTTAGCTATTGGGCAGTTTGGCAAGGACTATAGGACTAGTGTCAACTTCTACCGCTGGTGATTTAATGTGCGGTGAGGTGATGGGAAATGGGGTTTAACACCTTGTTCCATGTTATTGCACTCGCACAGCAACATGCATATACATAATGGGGATTTTTGAAAGAACTGTAAATGTTACAATGTAAATGTCTTGACATGTGTTTGCACTGGTCTAAAAAATAATGGGGTCCCCTCAGACGTGTTAGTCGCAAATGCCGCAGTTGTGAAGCTATCTTCGGGGGTTTGGGTGCATTTCAAAACATGCTCATGGACTACAACTTGCTCCACATTTGTCTGTGTCCTCGTGGTAATGCATCTCCATGTTCCCTGGTGACACTGGCCTAGTTCAGATACACCATGTACACACTCAGGGTGTTACCTTGACTTACAAAAGTGGGGGCCCAAGGGACCCCCCAAAATTCATCATGAGGGTCCTTGAAGACAATATGAGGGTCTGTAAAGTAATGAAATGGTGTAGTGTACTGTACCTTTAGATAATTACTTTAGAGCCTGGAATGAATCAATGATCACAAGGATGGTAGTCATGACTGATGGAAGAAATAACAGACACTAATAACTGCTCTTGATGCGCTGTAGGTATTATGAATCTTATTGTGCATGCCTCGGGACACAGTATATTTTTTCTGGATCTGTTCACTACATTTGTTCGTACTTGTTGTGCATTTGTGCTTTGCGAAAAAAACCTGCAAACTCACTACAACCACAAAACCTTTTTACAGGCAGATAATTTATTTTGGGCTGTTAAGTGGTCAGATTCAGTGATTGTGCTTCAGCATACCTCATAATGTCAATGACTGGTTTGCACCCTCCTGACTCAATTATTTGTTTGTTTAACACTGCAATCAGCAACATTTCAGCCATAGCACAGATCTAGAGGTCTGTAAATAATCGATCAATGACATGTATCAACCATGTCAGCAAGCCTGACAACCCGATCTTACGACAAGAATAGGTTGCTTAAGGCCAAACCTGAATCAACTGTTTACAGGCTATCATATAGCTGGAATATTGCTGAGGATGGCACTAAACAACAAATATTTTGGACAAGATGTTTATTAGAACAGTTTGGGCGAAAACTTCTCCAGCCCTGACAACATTTTATCCTGGACGAGCAGGCTTTTGGCCTTTAAGAACCCTGCTTATAGAACCAAATCGCCAATCTTAAATATGTTGAAATTTTCCTTCACAGGAGACATGGTGATCCTCTTTCTTTTTTTTTGTTTAACACCGCACTCAGTATAAATATTCAAGCTAACTGGTGGCAGCTTGCAAATAAGCGAGTCTGGACCAGACAATCCAGTGATTGATGAGTATGAGGACTCACAATCAACAAAGTCACCACTGGGTCCATTAAGAAGCCTCTTATGACAAGCATAATCTTCCCGGAGTTATATTCTAACCTGGAAACTCCATGGCGTTAAGATGCTCCAAAGATGTGTGGAATTTCAGGAACCATCCAAGAGACTATAATAATAAGAAAGATAATAAGGATAGGATAAGGATCTTCCATCCACGAAGCTGTTGCTCAAAGCGTGCATGACTAATATGATAAAGCCGGAAGTTGTATTTGTGAAGGAGGTTTAATGGGTTTTAAGCTTAGACTTGAACACAGAAAGAAGAGAGTTCTTGAGTTCAGGCTGGGAAAGAGCTCCACAGTGAAGGACCACAGTTTGCGAACAATCTTTCAAGTTTGTACATAAGTCTTGAGATTGACACTTGGAGCAGAGAGATTGAGTTTATCCATGGATCACAGATTCCTGACTGGGTTGTACTTCTCCTACGACTCCAGTAAACAGGCTGGTGCAGATCCATTGTAACAGCTGTATGCAAGGGAGAGTACTTTCAGTTCTATGGAGTGATAGGAATCGTTTGTAGGTGAACATTTGTTCTATTCTTAATACATTTTCAAATTCCATTCTGTGAGAGAGAAGTTGTTTTTTTTATTTCAATTTCTGTTCTTCATTTGCATCTTTATTTAGGCGTTTAACTTGTAAAGATCTGCGTAAGAGAAGAGGTCTTCAGCAACCCATGCTTGTCATAAGAGGCGAATATGCTTGTCGTAAGAGGCGATTAATGGGATCGGGTGGTCAGGCTCGCCGACTTGGTTGAAGCATGTCATGGTATCCCAATTGCTTAGATCGATGTTCATGGTGTCAATCACTGGATTGTCTGGTTCAGACACAATTATTTACAGACCGCCGCCATATAGATGGAATATCGCTGAGTGCAGCGTTAAACAACAAACAAACAAATACTTACATAAACTACCAACATATCTGTATCTCTTCTACAATCAATCATATCAATAAGAGAAGAAAATTAGTGACAGAAAATTTAACTAA